GGTGACACAAAAGCAAAGGAGAAGAAGTTTATGTTCCGACAATCGGTAAAGAAAGCTTGCACGAATTTAGTAATGATAATGGAATCCATCTGATAAACTTTACCATCTCGAAAAACCTGATAATTAAAAGTACTACGATTAAACATAAGGATATTCACAAATATACCTGGACATTACCAGATTCACAAACACGAAATGAAATCGATCATGTCTTGATACAACATAGTCAAGTAGTGCAATGTCTTGATACAACATAGTCAAAGCAGTATAATTAATGTACGGCCTTTTCGTGGAGCAGAATGTGGGTCGGATCATGAATTAGTAATCGCGAAACTTCGACAAAAAACTTGGATTTCGAGAATTTTAATTTTGCAAAAATTAAAAGATCCATTAATTAGAACTCAAATCGAGCTAGATGTTAAGAATGGGTTTGAAGCTTTAGAACCTTCTGACGAGGACCGCTAGGATACTGACAAGTTATGGGTAGAGATCAGGGATAACATTAAAGCAGTCGGTAACTCGTATCTAGGAAAATAAGAATAACAAACCGCGTTTTGGTGAAGATTGCTTAAACATGTGCAACAAAAGAAAATCCGCTAAATTAAAAGCTCTAAATAATCCTTACGAAGACAATCTAGTATACTTCCGGACCTCAAAGAATGAAACGACGAAATTCCTAAAAAATTAAAAAATGGAGTATCTTAAAATAAAATAATAGAAATAGAAACTAATAGAATCAAAAATAACGTAAGAGACATGTACAAAGATATAAACAGATCACGTAAATGTTTAGAGCCCGTCACGTCTGGAATTAGGGATGAAAATAGAAATATTCTGACTGATCCGGTTGACATATTAAATAAGTTTAAGGACCACTTTGACAATATTTTAAATACGGGAAATTATGATCTGTGTCCTCTTTCTGAATACGAGTGTGGAACCGTTGATAGAAGAACCGAGTAAAGAGGAAGTTGAAGTAGCTATCAGAAAATTAAAATCTTATAAAGCAGCGGGAACTGATAATATTCCTACTGAACTAATTAAGGCATGCGGAGAAGCTGGAGTTTCTAAAATACATTGGTTGATTAAAAAGATCTGGGAAAATGATAAATTACCTGAAGAATGGAAACAATCTATTCTTATTCCGATTTAAAAAACGGGTCCGAGGACGGATCGTAATAACTATCGAGGAATTTCATTTCTTACGGTATGTTATAACTGCGGTCTACGATAACTAGAAAAAAACGAAATTAAAGAGGGTATTAAGGTTAGGCTGAAGGCGAGAAGCACTTATTATTTTTCTGTGGCAAAATTATTTAGCTGGCGTCTCCTGTCCTGGAACTTAAAAACTAGAATATATAAAACCATTATCTTACCTACAATTCTTTATGGATGCGAAACGTGGCCGCTTACATTAAGGGATGGGCAACGTCTGAGATTTTTGAAAATAAAGTATTGCATGGAATATTCGGACCGAAGAGTTAATATTTGCTGTACCGAATGGTAAACGTCCGAGAGGTAGACCGAAGTGAAGGTGGTTAAGATTGCAAGTTTAAGATTGCGTTAAAGCCGATCTGAAGGGACTGAGTTTGGACGGCGAACGGTGGAGAGAGGTGTGTAATAAGCGATTGGTGGTGTCGGCATCGATCTTTTGAGTTCCCTAAGCCTTTTATTATTATTACTGTAAAAATATCACTCTACTTTCATGGGTGGTACAAGATCTCATGATCACACCATACATGCGATCGGGAGAACGGCTGAGTGTGTCAGAACCGTTTTAGTAAGGTCTTAACTGAAAAGAACCTATTGAGAGTACGTTTATCTTTTTTGAGCCACCGGCAGTTGAAAGAAGCGAAGTAATTAAAGATAATTAACGCCTTGAATTTCTCTTAAAAGGACTAGTATGAAGTTTGCCGATGTCGTAAATCGCGATTTAAATAAAGGGAGTTCATTCTGAGAACACGTCAATCCGAGGCTATTCTCATAATACCATTTATAGCGTGATCACGACATCTTGGAACACTCGGCAAAGTGGAGTTACATTTGTATTAATCATAGTCACCCCCTCCCCCCCAATTTCTGGAAAAAAAGTTATGGAGGAAAATAAACTTTATTTGCGAATAACTCAAAAAGTATGCATTTTTTTTCTCGATTGTACCCACGATAATTAGAAAGATTACTAAATTACGTACAAAAAAAAAAAAAAAAATAGGACAGTTATTTATAAAGATACAGTCCATTAGTTTTGGTATATTTAATGTCTTCCTCTTTAAAGATTTAGGAGTAGAATAGTCTATTACATTTTTTTTCCTGACTGATATATTAACTTTATTATTTCTTAAAGACATTTGGTTGTTCTAACATTTTTTTTTTTTTTTTTAATAGTTTAGAATATTCTATGATCGGAGCATTATTTTGTCTTTATTACTTTTATAATGTTTCTAGTCAGAGTTCAAAAATAGGTCCTAGTAAAGCAATTTGTACAAATATTTTGGTCTATTATGTTTAATGGGATATTGTAATCGGCTAAGGAAAAAATATTAATTCCTTCCGTAATACATAGGAACTAATTCTTTCCATATTGTTTTGCTATTTCTTCACTAAACAAAATGTTCTGCTTATTTTTCGCACGGGCCAATTAGTAAAATAAATATTTTTGCTCAGTGATGATAGAATGCAAGAAAAAACAATGATATTTCTTGAAAATTTTGAAGCTGGAAACACTATCTAGTCTAAAAAATATAAAGCATACAATGATATGAGCTCAGCGCTGGTAAGCTCCTAAATTCATCCATCGAAATTCAAGAATTGGATCCTTCTTAAAACTGGGTGAAATGAAACCAAGGATGAGTTTAGGAACTTGCTCAGTATCGGACAGCCCTGTCTCTGATCTTATGACCAAACCCACTCCACTTTTTTTTAAAACTAATTATTTTTGTAAATTTTCATTTTTATTGTTAAAACATAACCTTCACAGATGAATAAAAATATAAAATTCATACCAGTACCCATAATTGCTACTACCTCATCAGAACTAATTAATGTACTAAATCTGTATTAGTGTGGATCCATGAGGTTTTTCTTTTTTATAATTCTTTATATTCCATATAATCACATTCCTGTCTACTTGAGATCAGAAGGGAATTTCATAGTGCAAGTTGAGCCCTCAAAATTTTAATGGGGGCGTTTCGATGGGGTTATGAATTTTCAGACAAGGAAAAAACATGGAACAGATCACAGCAAGTGTTATTGTATATGATATGTTTATAAGAAAATGTGAGTAATAAAATATCTTGGGAGAAGGCAGGTTTTTGTGCCATCCATGTTAGGGGGTGAGGGGACGTGTGCCCCTGCTTGAGATTATTAACGTAGGACAGATACTACCAGAGATTTATAATTGGTAATTGGATGACTGTCGTGGATAATGAAGAGAAGAATAGTTGGGGTGTTCAGTCAAAAAGGAAGGCAAAAATAAATGATAATATTTATTTTTTACATATGCCGACGTTTCGACCTGAAGTTCAGGGCTAAGAAAATAACCAGATAACAAGGCATGAGAAACATAAGTAATGATGGTAAAAAAGATAATAAAAAAATTAATAGAAAAATAAAATAGATAAATATAAAGTAAAATGAAATTGTTAGAATCTTAGTCATTATTCTAACAATTTCATTTTACTTTATATTTATCTATTTTATTTTTCTAATAATTTATTTTATTTTATTTTTTTTTATTATCTTTTTTACCATCATTACTTATGTTTCTCATGCCTTGTTATCTGGTTATTTTCTTAGCCCTGAACTTCAGGTCGAAACGTCGGCATATGTAAAAAATAAATATTATCATTTATTTTTGCCTTCCTTTTTGACTGAACACCCCAACTATTCTTCTCTTCATTACCAGAGATTTAATTTTTTTCGTACCTTAATGTTTTAGGTAAGACTACAGGCATTGAGTACCATGAATGTCTTATGAGAACTGGTGAAGGGATAATTGGATTCCTTCAACTTTTTTTTTTTTAGTTTGAAGTAAAAATCCATCATGCCTATGCTAAAGGACAGTTCCCTTGTTAGTAATAGCTGCTGAGGAAAATAGTACAATACTTTCATTTTATTAATATTTTTCTACATTGTCTCCATAATAACTCAAAACTATTTTGGTGAAACTTAATTAGATATCTCTCAGATGCGTTTCAACTTTTTATGAATAATTCTTAAATTGAGTAGCACAATAATTTAAATAAAAATAAGTCTTATCTAGGATATATTTAATTGTATATGGATTGGGACAGCATAAGAGAATGAACAATTTTGTTTGAAAATTTTCTCATATTTTAATGTATCTCAATAAACAAATTAAAAAAACTATTTTATATTTATTTGTATTTCCAACCACTTGTCAACATACATCTCGCCTATTAAAAATAATTTAAAAAAATCAATAACTACCGAAAATATATATCTTTTGCCATGTGTAAAAGAAACCAGGATCATTTTAGATACTTCTCATAACTGATGATATAAAAGTAAAAATTCAAAGAATTATTGAAGGAATTTAGTCGACTGTTCTACATATCATAGGTGATAAATTGTCAGGACGCAATCATTTTAATTAAAGGTTTTTATTGGTGACGACGTTTCAACCCAAGCATATGGATCAGCTAGGCCTGTTTTGAGCACTGTAGGCGTTCAAGTACTCCGTGTGTTGAGTACTTGAACACCTTAGAGCTCGAAACACGCCTTGATGATGACCCATATGCTTGGGTTGAAATATCGGCACCAATAAAAACCTTAAAAATGACTACAATCTGACAATTTATCACTTATAAAAATTCAAAATTAGAATAAATAATCAGCTACCCAGGATCAACAACGTGTTAAGAGAATTTACAAAATAATGCTCCAAATTAAATTGAATAATGTATTTAAATTTCAAGGCTTAAGAGTGTTTTATTGTTAACCAAGAAGACAATGAATATCCAGAAAAAAAATATAAGACAAGAAAATATATATATATATTTTTTTTATTAATATGTATAAGATGAAGTTCATATAATTTTTTACAATTACAAATTTATTTTCTTAAAATGTAATAAAAAATACATAAAAGTGTGTTAATACATACCAATTAAGGAACTAAAAGTTATACTTTTCCATACTTAAAATATGGAATAAAATAAAATTATCTCATCTTTTAATTATAAAATAAATTAATATTAACAATCTTCACATCATTTATTATAATAGAATCCTCTTTTTTTTTATCACCAATTTTTGCTTCTGTTATCTATTTAATACAATATATAAAAAAAGTAATCATACAGTAGAACCTTACTGTGGGGCAGACCATCAAGAAAATATTAAAGAAAAAAAAAATTACAACCGGTGATCTAGAACATTTTTACTCCTGTTTATATTTAATTAATAATGATATTTGGGCAATTAGAAATAACTGATATACATGATGAGTCGTGTTTTCTCACAATCTAATATAAAGAAAGTGTAATAATACATACTAGTGTAATAATACATACATACAATTCTGTACAGTTCATGTATATAACTATATATGTGGATATAGTTATATACTACAGTATGTGTACTGTAATATAAATAGTAATGATTTACATTACTCTGGCCCCTTTAACATGAGTAGTTTCATTTCTAATGACCCGTGTTATTTATACATTCAATCTTTTCCTGAAGGGATCGAACAAAGTTTATTAAGAAAAGATTTTTAAGTACGACAAACTTTACTAGATTGGTTAATTTATTAATTACGGGGACTTTTTTTTAGAGATATCGCATTCATATCAAGAGAAAGAATCACAATATTATTGCATAAGTAATTATAAATATTTTCTAAATTGTTATAAAGGTTTTTATTTATGAAATGAAACAGTACATAGACATAAAAAAAAAACATTACTTAAAATAATATTAGTGGCTTATTGATAAAAAGATTTAAAACAAATTAACACTCTTGTTGACATAAGCTAAATTTATTGGACAAAATTGGTTTAGCCCCAAAATTTACAGAATATGTTTAAGATGATATTTCTTTCTAAGACTTTTCTGTCAAATGACTAATAATGGAAAGCCTTAATGAAAAAAAACAGATAAATCTATATTTTCCAACAAAAAAAGAATGCATTTTTGCCTGTAAACAAAAAGGTGGTCATCAAATAATCAGTGAATGTGAAAAGGACTAAATCAACGGTCAATATGTTAAGGAATGATGTAAAAGTGCATATATAAGTCCAGAATTTCCTTGTTTTTTACAATAATGTTAATAAATTCAATCTACATTAAAAAATATATATATATCAATCAAAACTTGCTCATTTATTCAAACCCTAAACATGGAATTGGCTGATGTCTTATTTAATTTCATATGGGACGAACCAAAAATTTCTGAGATTCGACTTACCTGGTTCTTGCATTAAGGCCATTCTGGAGAGAAGTATACACTTCTCTTCTGTTGACTGGTGAAGAATTTCCTGCTTGAGTTTTGCAGAATTTTCTCTCTTGAAAGCTTTCTGTCTACTCTCCTTATAGACTTACGACTTAACCTTATTCAGTTATTTTTGAAAAGCATTTACCTAGCTTCAATGTCGCCTATCTCTTGATAGATGGACCTGTTTGTCCTGGAGGCAGTCTCCAGATGTTGACTTTATGAAGTACTATTATATAGGGAGAATAATTCCATCTCCTAACACCTCTAAATTTCAGGTCCCAAAACATTTATAATTGTTTCTTAAAATGAGTGAGAAAAATTAATATCAGCCAATATTTTAGAATATTTACCTTTCTCAATCAGTATGATCCATAACAAAGTCAAACCGAGGATATTACCTGTAAACTCTCACCTATATGTCGAGTTCTCATATGCCTTCTGACATCGCTAGATTCTCCTGCTCTATATTCACAATGAGGACACTGATGAGGCCTCTCCCCATTATGATGGTGCTTTATATGTTTCATCAAATTACTCTTTTGAGCAGTTTTATAATCACAAGAGGTACATTGATGAGGTTTCTCGCCCGTATGACGGGCCATTATATGCAATTTCAAACGATTAGCGTACTCAGTTTTATAGTCACAGTGAGTACACTGATAAGGTTTCTCACCCGTATGACGGGACATTATATGCGTTTTTACAGTAATAAGTTCGATCGCTTTAAAGTCGCAAAAAGGACATTGATGAGTTTTTTCGCCGGTATGACGATATTTTATATGTCTTTTTAAATGACTCATCGTAACTGCTTTATAATCACAGCAAGAACATTGATGAGGCTTTTCACCAGTATGAAGGGCCATTACGTGCAATTTCAAACGTGTGGTGTTGTCCGTTTCATAGCTACAAAGATGACATCGATGATGAGGCTTATTTATTTCATCTTTATGATTGCTGCTTATATGTTTTCTTAAAAAGGTGATAGTTTCTGCTTTGAAGTCACAATGAGGACACTGTTGAGACTTTTCACCACTGTGATGGTACTTAACATGGCTTTTTATTAAAGCAACATTTCCTGCTTTATAATCACAATGGGGGCATCGATGAGGCTTCTCTCCCGTATGATGAAGCATATGGTTCTGTAATGATCTCTTTTCAATTGCTTTATAATCACAATGAGGACACTGAAGGGGCCTTTCACCTGAATGACGAGCCATTATATGTTTTTTTACACTCATAATTTCTATTGCTTTATAGTCACAATGCGGACAATGGTGAGGCTTCTCATCGGTATGATGAGCCATTATATGCCTTTTTAAATGACCGTTGGTTACACCTCCATAGTTACAATGAGGACACTTATGAGGCCTCTCACCTGTATGCATGGCCATTACATGTCTTTTAAGTCGACTAAGTGTGATCGCTTTAAGATCACAATAAGGACATTTATGAGGCTTTTCACCTGTATGACGGTGCATGACATGACTTTTTAAATTACCTAAAAGAGCTGCTTTAAAATCACAATGAGGACATTGGTGAGGTTTTTCTTCGCTATGACAAGACTGTATGTGAAGTTTTAAACGGCTATTGCTATCAGTTTTATAACTACATTGAGGGCAGTCTTTTTTCTGATTACTGAATTTAGACTGCATTTCTAAGTCCATGTTCATCTTAGACCTTAATTCATTTTGACTTATCTCATGCAACTTGTAGAAGGGATCCTGAGTGCCTATAAAAATAAATATTACATTAAATAAAAATTTAGATAATAGTTACATTAACAATAAGATAAAAATCAGTTATATTGTCATTATAGATAATAGTGCAAAGATAAGTAACCAAGTTTTAAAAATAATTATTTCAGATGGAAAGGTTATATTTTTTATTTAAGCTGTAGTAATTAGAAAGTGTTTTATATAATCAGCCTCTATTATGAATTCATAATAAAAACGATTTTTCTCACGTTTTGTAAATTTCATAAAATTTTATTGTAAGTAAACTATTAAATAATTTGTTTTTTAAACAACAGCCTAGTAGGCCCATGCGAAAAATTTGTACAGTATATTGTTCAGTGATCATATGACAAATTAATAAGAAAAGAAAATAATGCAACGTATCAGAAGATAGAGAAATCAATTTTTTACTTTTTCGCTTAATATATTCGAAAAAAATTAATTAACTAATAATTAACAAAAATTAATTTAAAATTTCATTAATGTATGGAACCAACATGTTTACAAATTTTAATAAGGTGTACTTTCGCTAATTTTACGATTTCAAAGATTTTTTTTTTCCTTTAGCAGGGAATTTAGTAATCTTTTACATAATCAACATAAAAAGTGTGTAATTTTAGAGTTATTCGCAAATAAAGTTTCTTATCTTTCATAACTTATTTGCCTGAATTTTAGGAGTGATTGGACTATTTTTCCCGCCTGAAGGAGAAGGAAACCTTCAAAATTGGTGGCTCAATCTTGGGATTCGATGAAGAATTAACGATGATATGGCTTACCGACAAAAAAACACCTGTGATAAACAATATAAACCCATACTCTCTCGATCATAGAGATCTCAAGTCGACGAAATGAGACATGTATTCCATGAAAATACTTCAATTAACAAGGTTGTGTGCATGCCTTTGCCTTGTATTCCTGCCTTTGATGAATAAATAAAAGTTAAGGTGAAAACGGTTAAAAATGGACAAGCAACTTATGAAAAGAACTTAAGAAATAAATTATATTTATTAAACTGACACAAGATCTTTTCTTCAGTAAATTTGGGTAATAGTTACGAATTATAAAAATGAAAACTTACATGAAGGCTCAATTTCTTCTGTAGTTTCTTCTTCTTTAAAAGCATCAGGGTTACTCATGCCTATACAAGAAAACCACAAAACAAATAAGCGAATGAAAAAATAAATATTATTGAAGGGCTAATGCAAAGAACTAAAAATTAAACTAAAAGAGACAGTCATTAAATTTAAAAAACAAAATACAATTTCAATATACATCAAAATTACTTAATTAGTTATTGTTTATCATAGTCAAAACTTTCTGAAAATCATAAGATTTGGTGTCCCGAACAGAGACAAACTAAAATTGTATGATTTGGAGATGTGAACAAGGCCTAGATAAAAAGATATGAACACATGATTTGACTTCCTTAAGAAAGAATTAAAAAATTATAACTATATTTGTTAAGACTATCATATCACAAATACTTCAAGATATGCAAACTTTACAAGAAAACTTACTTTCCTCTTCCGTTTCTTCTATCTTTTCTTCTTTAATGAAAATACAAGAGTTACTCATTCCTAAAAAAGAAAATAAGATAAACAGTTTACGTAAAAACTAAACCGAAATATGAAGTTGAAAACTTGGTTAAATGTTCTAATTTTATAAGAGTTCATGGATCATTAGTTGAAATAGAACGGTTTGCTTTCACAAGGGGAAGAATATATACTTGTAAATAGGAGACTAAATATATGACTTTACATCATTAATAATAAACCAAATTTTATATAATAAAGGCTTCTTTTTTTCAAAAAGTAAAAGGGTATTACTTACATTTATTTTTTTCACTCCATGTTGGGAAGGAACTTACCCAATGCGTATGGTTGTATGATTGAAGCCTTGTGAATTTAATTAGTGCAGGTCCCGATAAAAAGTAATTACGACCAAGTAGGATATGTCGATAAGAAAACATTTTATTTATTAACAATAACATATAAGAGAAATTTGTGGACTAAAATTCATCAAAAACGTCAACAGAGCAGGATCAGTAAAGCTTCAAAATTAAGTAAATAAAGATCTAAGATAAAATGTTTCTCACCATCATCAGAAACAAACTCCTCTCCTTCGTGTTTCACATGAGTCATTCCATCTTCTGGAATTACAAAAGTATTTATTACACGATAATCAACAGAAATAGCTCAATACACATATTAAAAAAGTAACATTTTTACTTTCACTTACCTATATATGAAATATATAGTAAGGAACAGTATTGCGATCATAAAAATTTTCGACTCTGAGTTTTCAATGGAAATACATATTCTGAGTCCAAATAACCAAGTCCCACAAATTGGTCTGTGTGGGTGTGTGAACAGTCTAGCTCAAAATGAAAAGTCGCACAAAAGTGAAATTTCATATTTAAGGTTTGTATATACCTTGCATGTTACAGCAACTTTTTCAGAATTTCCTACCAGGAGTACATGCAGCGGAATGGAGGGAAACTCTTCTAGAGATGAGGCAGCTTGGCCAGGACCAAGAGGCGTGGCTGTGTTGGATCGAGGCTCCTCGACGCTAGGAATGGCATCAGAGGTAGACAAAGAATAAGAAAAAAAATCTGGTGCGCACAACACAACTTTCACTTATGGCTCTACATTAATTGTTAGAGGATATTTTTGGGATTTCACAAAGGAAAAATTCATCAAATTATTAACTACTTTAATTTTCTAAAAGGTTACTTGATTTTTTGGAATAAACGGCCAATAGATAACTAATTATTTAAATATAATATCATATCAAGAGTAAATGTATTTAAAACTACAGTAAATGTATTTAAGGTTATAAATGTACTCATGAAATATTTCTATATTTTACTTCTTCTTTCACACAAGTACATTGAAATTGTATTATAAACAATGGCATTGGCTTGATGCGGTGGATTTAAATTTTTTTTCAAGCTTAGAAAAAAATTTAGAATTTACATTTAGTAAGAAAATTTCATTTAAAGTCCTTGGGAACATGTGATTTACGTTAAATAATGTTAGTTTTCTGAAATTATTATTTATATTTTTTTCGTCATTATCGGTGACCCTATCTTCTACAACTTTATTTATTTGTTATTATTTTTTTAAAAACTCTCCACTTTCCAACGATATATTATACGTATACTTCTGACTGTTATTTCCGGAGATTCATTTTCAATCTGGATAAGCATTTTTCTTTATTTCTTCAGTTTCCAACTGTCAAATTCTTTCAAACTTCATAATTAGCCATTTTTTATATTTACTGTCAATAAAAGAGAGTTACTTGTTTTAAATAAACCATACTAAAGATACTTAAGAGGAAGATGTATATGAACATTGGCCACTTAAGCCCTGTAAAGTGACATCAATGGGGATAAGATCTAAATGAAATTAAAGACCACTTAATTATACAATGATACACCAGCTTTAATGAAAATAATTAGAGCCGTTTTTGAGAAAATTGTAAAAATGTGTTTTACCGTTGATATAAAGTGGCACTTAGGGTTAGGTGATTTAAAGGAAAAAGGAGCTGTTACATCGAAGGCATGTACCTTTCATAAATACCTAACATCAGTTTCATACAACGTTTTGTTTTTGAGCTAGAAAGTTAACAGACAGACCATTTTGCTGGACTTGGTTATTTAAACTCAGTAGCATTTCTGTTGAAAACTCAGATTCGAATACTTTCCCTTAATATGAGTTACATATAAAGGTAAGTGAAAGTAAAAACATATGCAGCTGCACCATTTCTTATTCAAGCTATGTTAATCATGATCAGTAATGATTTTTTATAAGGCAATTAAAGTTAAAGTGTTTTATATTTAATATTGTTGCTTACCATAATAAAATTGTGAATCATCCTCCTGTTTGATAACAATCGTCGGAACTGAATGAAAATAAAAATCAATTATTTTCTTTGAAATGTCAACTATAGTAATAAAATTAAGACCTTTGTATAATTATTAAATATCATTCGAATTATTAATCATAAAAGAAAACAATAGAAAAAAGTTTAATGCTATGGCAACAAATGCCTTTAAAGGTTTCCTTTTAATTTTAAAAATAATTTTTATAAATTACAATTAATTAATCTTAATAATAATCCAATCGATACAAATGAGTAGTCTCATACCAACTACAGACATTTTAGAGAGTAGAGAAAAAGCAATTTTTTTTTTTTTATAAGTTCAAGTTAATCATGAAAAAAAAAAATTAGAATTGGTTTGAATTTAAGTAATATGTTACTGAAATTCGCGGTATGAAAGTAGAAGTAATGTTAATTTTCCCCAAGTTTTTAAAAATGAAAGATGTCCGTCTTCGACATGAGGCCATCATTTTTTTTCCTTGAAGAAAAATTTAGAAATCGCTATCGTTCAATATAGAGGACAATCTAAAATGTTATAATGGGGCTATAATGTTGTATGAAAATTTAAAAAAAAAAAAAAAAAAGAGAGAAAACTATTCTGTGAAGTGCTGAAAGATGATTGTCAAGAAAAGCGTAAGGATGCCAAATAAATGTTTGACGTAGACCAAAGAAATAGAGGATTTTACAATGAGGAATAGTTTATGAGAGGAATGGGCTTAGAAGGAGAGTAATCAATAAAGAAGCCATACAAAATCTAGGTTAAGGAAGCCTTACTTTCAGCCAAAGTTTCGTTGCTCTTCTCTTCTTCTATACAAACAACAGGATTGATCATACCTGAAAATCAGAAGAAAAAATTAAATGACAAATATTTATTTAATATATTAACTAGAATATATATATATATATATATATATATATATATATATATATATATACACATATATACACAGACTGCACTCATACTTTTGTCAGATTCCATCCCTTGGATAAGTGACTTAAATCAAATTTGGCATATACTAATCAACATTACTGACATTATCAAAATTATTTTCCATAACTTAATAATAATTTAAATCCTCAGTCCATTCCCTGTCCACAAGATCTCGACCTTCTAATCTTTACATGCCTTCTCACAGATCTGCCTCATTCCAAAATTCCTTTGTTGTTCGCTCTGTCAATTTCTGGAATTCCCTCCCTATCAAAATTCGACATTCCCCATCCATATCCAAATTCAAAACCCTCCTATTCCAATTCCTATCCCAAGAACAGTCAGATAGTTGCTAACCATTCGAGCTGATTTCAATAGAGAATTTGATACATACAAATTCATTGATTGATTCATTGATACATTTTTATTTTTGAATTCTTTATTATTTTCTTAAAAGTGTATACTAGTGCAAATAGCTTTAAGTGCCTTGTCATAGTATTAATTGTTTTGTATATAGTTTCGTTTTTTTTATATAGAATGTTTACCTTATATTTTTTTACATTATTTCTTTTTTTCGATTGATTTTATTTTGGCCAGATGTGATCTGTTAATTTTGTTCTATTTTGTTATTCTCAAGGGACTGTGTCCCAGAATAAAATTATTTTTCTATCTATCTATCTATCTATCTAATATTCCATTAATATCAAAATTATTTTCTATTACTTTAACAAGACCTACTCTAGTTCGAATTATTGTCCAATCCACTGAGAAAGCACTTTTTATTTCATTTAGCAGTTTCTCTTCATCTTTTATTTTCAAACTGTCAAACTTAATATTTTTTCTAATTCCTATTTTCGACAAACATCTATTCTGTCACTTAATTTTATGACTTTATTTTTAACTAACAGCGTAAATGTAATCCTTTTCATGAGAAACACTCTCAGACTTGAACATTAATACTACCAGAAAAAAACTTATTAATTATTGATATCTCTTTTGTCTGAGAGAGGAATGGGCATTCTCATTTTTACTCATCAGATATCAGATGGCATTCTCATCTGGCGAAGGAGGGGGCTTCGAGTCCGCAGTTTCACTTTAACCTCAGTCTAGTAGAGTTAAAAACTCTTAACAAAGCCAATATTAATCAACATCGGATTAAAAACCATCCACATCACAACCCAGTGATGTTATTCACGAACTGAATCGAAGAGAAGGTCCTAATCTTCCATTTGTAAACAGGCCACAAGAGGCTCAAAGCCCACCTGTTCAGGAAGTCCAAAATTGGATCTAGTTCTTTCTTCTTCGTTCTTCAAGTATGGAGAGAGTGAACAGAATGTGGAGCATATCCTGAAAACGTGTAAGATTGATTCCCAGCAAATGAGTCTTATCGGGCCCTCTCCAACTGAGATGCAAATGAAGCTCTATGGAAGCCTGGAGAACCTTAAGAGGACTACCGAATTCTTCGAGTTCCTGACCAGGACATCTGAGGGAAGAACGAAAAAGAAGAATATCTCCTTTTTAAAATGCATAACAGATATCACACAATTCCTGATGGCAACTAATAAATACTGGTACTGCTGTTGGGAACTAACTAGGTTAATGATCCTTTATACCCCCCCCCAAAAAAAAACTAAAATACAACTTACATTCAGCTTCAATTTCATCTGTATTTTCCTCTTCAATAAAACCATGAGGACTCCCCATACCTGAATAAGAAAACAACACAAATATCAATTAGTTCATATTTAAACTAGAAATTAAGTTTGAACTTAATATATCAAAAATATAGATATAGAAATTTAAAGCAAAAAAATTTACTTTCATTATCCATGTCATCTGTCTTTTCTTCTTTAATGAAAATACAAGAGTTATTCATTGCTAAAAAGAAAAAAGAATAAATATAAAAATCAGCTCATATAAAAAATATAATATGAGTATTAAAATGATAATGGTGTAAATCAATTTTTACTTATTACATAAAAGTGAATATTTTTTAAATGATATATCACTGCCTTCGAAAGAGGTCTGGTACAACCCAAAAATTATAAACACTAGACCTTTTATGTTGAATTTTTACAAGTAAAAAACAAAAATAAAAAAAATGAATATTATTCCAAAAGTGTCACATCTGGTAGACAGGTATGTCAAAATTACATTGATCATTCTGTAGATTGAATTAAGAAAAAAAAATGGAGGGGTGTATACGGAGTAATTCACAGAGGATATAGAGAAATATTTTCATAACAAAATAGTGAAAATATTTGCTCATTCTGCTCAATTAAGAACAAGGACTCGCTTGATCATTTAAAATCATCGTCACATAACTTCCATAATTCATTTCTAAGTTAATGAAGAGAAGAATAGTTGGGGTGTTCAGTCAAAAAGGACGGCAAAAATAAATTATAATATTTATTTTTTACATATGCCGACATTCGAGAAATCTCTTCTCTTTTCTCCCCTCGACACTTAAGGAGACAGCCCTGATGAAGGCCTGAACTTCAGGTCGAAACGTCGGCATATGTAAAAAAAAAAAAAATAAATAAAAAATAAAAAAAATAAATATTATAATTTATTTTTGCCTTCCTTTTTGACTGAACACCCCAACTATTCTTCTCTTCATTATCCACGACAGTCAACCAATTACCAATTATGCATTTCTAAGTAAAGTATGGAGATTGGTCAACTTTATTATACTTTCATATACACTCAGCTACTTTTGAAACATAATATGATCGATGTGATCTTGACCCACCTATTAATCAGAGGCGATTGTTATAACAGTGTAGTTGTATAATTCAATACATTCTAACAGAAGAGAATTACTATTTCAGTTTATCCTGTAATAGTTGGTTAATACTTAACGTTTTGGTTCATAAGTGTCAAGTCTGGATATGATGTGAACCAAATCACAGACCACACATGGAATGCTGAAAATAGCTCAACGTATTCAATAACTCCACCTTATGATAACTAATGATAATCTTATTTTGGATTAGGTTAAATTTCATTCTCTTTTATTCTTCAATTCGACAATTCCTGGATTAGGTTAGATAAATAAGGACAAACAGCACAGAAATTAGTCACCTCCAAACAATTAGGGATATTTTTGGCTACTTTCGTCATTCCATGGTACAAACGTGACACTTGTGGACTGGTCATTATTTTACTAAATATAATTTTAATATAGATTTTTCATAAATCTGATCTTATTTCCCAAGGGTGGAGTATTACAAATAACCTAGAAGAGTAATTAAAAATAAAACAATTAAATTTAAAATATTGACCACCATCGACAATAAATTACAGCCCATTATGGAACTTTTTTCTCTTGAAAATTTTTGAAACAGTTACATACCGTAATTTACCTCTGAATTAGTTATGAGCTTTGATTAAGCAATGGACACGCTCTTATCACAATTCATAACATATCATAATAAATAATTATCTATTAACAAGCTAAACTTAATAATACAACATGGAATTGTACAGGAAACATCAAATACCTTTAATCTTTGCAACACCATAAAATAAAAGATTAAGACTGCGATCTAAACTTCACATAACTAATGAAAAGAGTGGGTGTCTTTACAAAAACTTCTTGTCCAAGTTGCCTATATTTAATATAACATAAACATTGTTTTATATATTTATTTTATTTATGAAATTTACAACTGTAATAAATAAAAACGCATCTGGTATAAATGTGAAGATTGAAATATAATAACATATAGAGAACCTATCCATTAGTAGCACTCTATACATAGTTAAAAAGACTATCAATTCAAGATTTACACTGGTCAATTATTAACATATGTGCTAAATTAAAATCAAATCCAAAAGTAGTTTTTAATGAATAGGATAAAAGGGGAGTTATCAACAAGACTCCTAATCAACAAAAATAAAAAACACGAAAACAATCAAATCATCCAAGACTATTACAAATTGTTTATAATTATAACACAAACGAAAAAGTGAAGAGTTGATTTTCTCACCAATCTCATCCATTGTTATTCAGTAATTAAAAACTTTAAACAGGTCAACCATACATAACCAAATTATAATCAAGGAATAGATTTTTTATCTATATTCCAAAGAAGTCTTAATAAGCAGGTAAATTATATCTCTTTACTGAAGGAAGTTTATCGACTGTTCTGCAGATCATGGGTGATAAATATTCAGGACTCCTAATCAACCGTTATAATGACTACGCCCTGAATATTTATCACCCATTATATATCTTTACGAACAAAAAGATGAAGTTCATATTCTTTGCAGTGATGGTAGATTTTTCTTATTAAAAAATATCAATATAATTCACTTCTGAACATAGATTTCTGATTATTTTTATTTCTTTAACACAAAAATTAAAAGTTTAATATATATATATATATATATATATTTAATATAATATATATATATATATATATATATATATATATATATATATATATATATATATATATATATATATATATATAAACTGTACAAAGTATTTTAAAAAAGATACTTAGTAATCAGCGGAATAGGGATAACTAAGAATGAAGCCACGGTTGCCGACTTTCATTGGATAAAGTTTAAAAATCTGATAAGAGTAACGATTATGCCCTGAAAATAAAATAAAAACAACCACACTAGAATCATACATGTGTCTTTTATATAAATCCCAACCAAAATATAATCCGTGAGTTCTCGTTTCGAAAAATGAGTACATAAACTATATAATTTGGTTACAAGGTAAGGTATAGAACCACGGTCAAGCAACGCTGAGTTTTACCAAATTTGTCAAAAACTGAGACAAATAACTATAAATGGCTCTGTAACTTGGAAATGAGTTCCCTTAGAGGAAAACCCCATAAAATCAAAGTTGTAGAGCATCAAATTTTGCGTATACTGAGTACTGACATTTTTATTGTTGCCAAATTATATATCTCGAATCGGGATTGGTTATTCCTTTATAAAATTCGGTATCTTTTGGCACATCGTTTACCAAAATCTTTTGCTGTTGAGAGTTGGAAAAGAGGCTTTTACTGCATGTAACAGACTTTAAACAAACCCAACTCAATAGAATAGACACCCATACTATTGAAATATTGAAAATCACGTTTACCTTCATTACCAATTTCTAACTACCGGAAGATTACCGATTGACCTACATTAAATTAGTTGGTACTCAGTATACGCGAAATTTGATGCTCTATAACTTTGATACTATGGGGTTTTCCTCTTAGGGAACTCATTTCCAAGTTACAGAGCCATTTATAGTAATTTGTCTCAGTTTTTGACAAATTTGGTAAAACTCAGCGTTGGTCGACCGTGGTTTTATACCTTACCACATAACCAAATTATAAAATTTATGTACTCGTTTGACGCAAAATTTAACGTCCTTTAAGTTATTAGAGAATACATTTTTCGCTTTGATGCATCGTTTAGGAGTTATAGATGAAAAACCCAAGAAATATCGAAAAAATCTGACTTTTTTGGATGTAAAAAGTTTTCCCTTGGTGGAATGCCTCAGCAATTTTGTTTTTTACATGTCTAAACCCATACAAGTTAACAAAATAAAAACTTTCCTCACACTTTTCGCAATGGATTTCTCGTTTCGATCCTCAAATTATTGGCCTAATATTCTTTAAATCAGCCGCCATTTTTGAAAGCAGCGGCTCTGGAACGGCAGACAAGGTTTTTTTTTACTTAGAATAACATACATTTCCGTAGTTTACAATCAAACCTTCGCCTGCGATCAGGTCGATTTTTTGGCCCTGGCTCCAGGGCTAAATGAGATACGTGACAGATATGCGGACTCTATGCCCTTTCCGTTTTACTTTAAACTTCGAAGAGAGTAGGGAACTTGAGGAATGAGTTGAAGGACACAGCTCTTCCATGTTAAAATTTAAAATAGATAACGAAGTGACATTTAATTATTTGAAATAATAAATAAGAATGCTACTGTCACTCCACTTTCATAGTTGAAACTCCCACACACCCACTTTTTCGGGAGTTGAAATGGCTTAAAGAACCACAAAGGCAGGAAAGTCTACTACACAACTGTCATTCACCCTCCATCTTATTCCAATTCATCGAATAGATATAGATTGAAATTTAGACAAAAAGTTTTTTTTTATTATTTTTTTACAATTGACCGAACCTCAATAAAACAAATCTATTCGAAGTAAAATTGATTCTTGAAACAAAATCCTTATCCTTCATTTATTATATAGAAAAATGAAAAAAGAAATACTGCGTAATTGCCAATTCAGTACTGTAAATTAGTATATTAACAACGTTAGACAAGACACATTTTCTTGAAAAGGTTTTATTTGAGATTTTTGTTTGTGTAGTACGTTTTTCTTATCTCACACCTTTCGTTCAATTAACAAGTGTGACAAAATGAGAGAAAAAAGAAAACCAGTTGTGTCACTGAAAGATAAAATAAAAGCATTATATAAGTCGCATAAAAGTGTTAGCGTTAGTGATACTGGAAAACACAATTATCTAACTTGACTAACAGCGACATTATTGTAAAACCAAAATATTTAATTTATTTCTCTTGATACCGAAAGCAGATGGAAAATATCAAAAATAAGAAGAAAAAATACTAGCATAGTGAAATAATCATTCATATATTTGTTTGTCCCATAGTTTGTGAAATGTCCAAACGCACCTTTAAGAATTTATCCAATATAAATGTTAATTATTATAAAGTTTATGCAGCATTTTTAAGTAAATAACTAAAGAATACAGCCAAAATAAATCCTCTTAAAGTCTATGCCTGGAAGTTACTGAACTATCGATAGTGGAAAAAATCGATTATCGCACACCTTTAACTGAAGGAAATTATCATGAGATTTTTATTTGTGCCGACGTTTCAACCCAAACATGTGGGTCATCATCAGGGCGTAGTTCGACCACTGAAGGCTTTCAAGTACTGAAAAGCCTTCAGTGGTGGATCCACGCCCTGAAGATGACCCACATGTTTGAGTTGAAACGTCTGAACAAATAACAACTTTTTATTATGATTGCATCCTGAATAATTATCACCCATGATATGTGGAACAGTCGAATAGCTTCCTTCAATGAACGAAATAATAATAACGAGCAAGTAGGACAGTTCTTTTTTACCCCCTCTACTTTCATTGAGAAATCGATTATTTTTTATCAATCACAATTATTATAATTATTACCATTTTTAAAACCCTACTGTCCTTAATTTTTTATAAATAATTTAAATAATCATTAGTAAAATTTTTATTATGTACTATTCAACTGATAAAATTAAAATGTATTTTGATTATGATAGCTTAATTTTAAGGAGGTTATCATTGGGTTGCAAGACTTCTGCAAGTGGTGCAATTTATATGTGTTTTGTACATAGTTTTATTTATTTTATTTAAATTCACAAAAATGTCCACAAATTACACTTGTATCAGCTGCAGAGTAGCTTTCATGGATGCTGACATTCAGAGACAACATTATAAAACTGATTGGCACAGATACAACTTGAAAAGAAAAGTAATCAATTTACCACCTGTCACTGCTGAAGATTTTCAGCACAGAGTATTACAACAACGGCAAAAAGAAGAAAATGAGTCAAAGAGTACTTCAACTTACTGCAAGGCATGTAGGAAAACATTTTCTTGTAGCAAAGCTTTTGATAATCATCTGAATTCTAAAAAGCACAAAGAAGCTCTGAGCAATTATATTAATTCTGGTAATGATGAGAATATAGGTGTTGAGGCGGCTCCAGTCAACTCCAAAAAGGAATATGATAAAAAAGACAAGATGGACTGTGATTCTGAAGATTACTCGGATGTGGAAGATGTCGATTCTGATGAATGGGATGATGTAGAGGATGAAAATGAGTTGGAAATCAGTGAGGATAATCCTATCTTACAGAACAATTGCCTGTTTTGCAGTCATCACAGTAGTTCGATGACCAAAAATCTTAAACATATGTCCGTAGAACATTCTTTCTTTATCCCTGATATCGAATATGCTATAGATTTAAGAAACTTATTGTTGTATCTTGGAGAAAAAGTCTGTAAGTTCTTCATGTGTTTATGGTGCAATACTTCTGGGAAAGGTTTCTATTCAATGGATGCTGCTCAGGCTCACATGAGAGATAAGGGACATTGTAAAGTACTCCATGAAGGCCATACTCTTGCTGAATTTGAGTCTTTCTACAACTATTCCAAAAGCTATCCTGATTACATTGAAGGAATGGATATAGATGAAGAGGTTAACATTCCTGAATTAGACTCTGGGGACTTCGAGTTAACTTTACCATCCGGAGCAACTATAGGCCATCGAACATTATTTACCTATTACAAGTAATTATTTTACATATTACAACTTAGAATGGTTAGCATGTTTTACATATTTATATTTATAATATTTCTCAAAAGCAGCGATACTCCTCAAGCTTAAGATTTCCCAAGTCTTCAGTCTCATCGAAGATTCTACTGTTTGATCATCTTAAGTTTTTCTAGACCGTCCTAATCTATCCGTTTTCCCTTAATTACACCACCTTTGACAATTTTTGTTCCAGCATTCTTTTTTAAATATTCTTACCGCTTCAGTTGTTTTTATTCAATCTTCCTCAGAACGTTCTTTACTTCCTCCTTTTTTCCTCATTTCTTATTTTATTCATTCTGGATATTCTTTTTGCTCATTGCTAGTAATCAATTTTGAAATTACTGTGTTTTCATTTCACATAATCATTTTTCTGGGTTTTTTTCAGGCAACATTACGGTAATGAGCATGGTGTAGTGGCTAAACAGAATAAGCTCAGTAAAGTATTATCAACATATCGTGCTCTTGGTTGGAAGGAAACAGATAAAGAAATTGCTGTTAGGTAAATACCTAGTTAATAATATATATATGATAATTTTTTAATGTCTCTCATGCATTGTTGTAAGATCACATCTCCACACTGTGCACCGAATACAGAAAGTTTACGGGTATTCAGAATCATGTACATTGCATTCAAGTGTTATTTTAAGCTATATTTTATTTATTTATTAAATAATATACTCACCATGTAATATATTATAATTTATGATTAATGATCATCTAAATTTTCATGTTAATACATTCGTTTCTGATTCTAATTTTTGGGAGTTATTTTTATACATATATAGTTCACATTATGCAGGATACTATTATTATAAGAAGTTGAGGCATTTTTGCTCTCTATTCCTATAGTTCATAACACTAGGAATTTTAAGGGTTTTGTTTATTATTTTAGTACTCACGGTATGCTTTAATACGCACTTGTAAAATCCTTGTATATTGATAAGTGCTCTCTCAAAATAGCAGATCATTTAAAACACAACTTAACTAATCAATTTTTGATAGGTTTTGTGTCCTCTAAAATTTTCTTTAAGTACAGTTTTTAAAATCTGTTTTAGTAAATCATTAAATAAATTTTTATTTCTGTTGCAGGAAAGCTAAAGACATTAGATATATGAGGGCAGTACAGTCCAAGATGGCAATGAGGCTAGGTGTGAAAACTAATAAACTTCAAAAGCATTTTAGACCACAGGTCAATTTCTAAATCATCAAATGTTCATTTTTATTTTTATTTTTTTGTAATAAATTACATCTCTTTCACATTGTACCAAATATGAACTTTATCATCAGCACTGATTCTATTTATATTTATTTTGTTGTATATTTCAAAATAATTTTATACAGTGTTTATAAATAAACGTTTTATATGGTTTGGTATTTTATTAAGTTTTGTATTATTGGTGCTGATTGTGGAATGATTAATTATTTAATAAATCAGTTTTTTCTTTCCACAATATAACTTATTACCTTACAGATATATTTTTGATTTCTCTCATAATCAAACAAAAAATGACACTTTTTCACCTTGCTATCTTTTAAGTGTTGTAAGCTGTGGAATAGTCTCAGTCAATTTTCTAATATCTGTGTAGTGATATTCTTTAAAGCAGTTTATCAGCCATGTACTTCTTGGGTACTAGTTTATTCACGTAATAATTACAATACAGTAGGTTCCCGTTTATCCATTCTTGTTGGGACCTATACATAGCCGGTTAGTATGGAGGCTATAAAATTTTAAAAAATCCAATATTATTTTAACTTCTATATTGCGATTTACAAAAATGTCTACTGGCGAACTTGTCATTTTCACAATTTTTTTTTTTTGTTACTGAACTTAATGTGTCCTCAGAAGCATAGTCTCCACTTATTGGAAAAACAGAATCCAATGCTGTTTACTATTCTTGTTGTTCGACATAGTGCAAGGCAAAGTCGGTGGCAAATATTTGCTTTTACTTTTAGGATAGGCCCAGTAAGGTGAGTATCATGATATTTCTCTTGAACAACCAGAGCTACAGTGCATCGTTCACAAGTTCATAAGATGTATTTTACTTTCACTTACCTATATATGTAATACATAGTTAGAAAAAGTATTGCAGTTGTGAAAATTTTTGAATCTGAGTTTTCAACGGAAATACTACTGAGTCTAAATAACAAAGTCCCGCAAAATGGTCTGTCTGTGTGTGTGATCAATCCAGCTCAAAAACGAAAAATCGTAGGAAACTGATATTATGTATTTAAGTTAGGTATATGCCTTGGATGTGCCAGTAACATTTTCATTAAAATCGACTAACCAGAACTGGCACTTTACAACAACAGTTATACACAGTTTAAAAATTTTCTCAAAAACTACTCCAACAATTTTGATTAAACTCATCATTGAGGTCTCATCCACATTGATGTCACCTTACAGGGATTAAATGTTCAACATGTGTTCCTCTAAAGTACCTTTAATTTGGTTTATTTTGCATAATTAACTATCTCTCATTATTAAGAGTTACGAAAAAATACTAAGTAAGTACTAACTTTTGAAAGAATTTTATAATTGAAAAATGTAGAAAAAAAGAAAAATGTTTATTTAGGTCGAAAATAAATATCCGGAAATCATAGCGGGTATACGTATAATATATCGATGAAAAGTGGAGAATTTTAGAAAAAAAAATATCCATCCAATATGGAAAGTGATGGAGAATTATAAGTAATAGAATAGTTGAAAATTATTCAACAGAAATCACATGTTTTCAAGGAAATTATATGAAATTTACTAACCAAATGTGAACTTTTTTAAGTTAGAAAAAAGTATTTAGAACCCACCTAATCAAGGCAATGGTATTGTTTAAAAAACTATTTCTGTGAAAGAAGAAGTGAAATATAGAAATATTTCATGGATGTATAAAGCATACGTTTATAACCTTAAATACATTTACTGTAGTTTAATAATTCTAGATTTGATATTTTGTTTGAATAATTACGTATCAATGTTTGTTTATTCTGAAAAATTGTCATGTAATCTTTTAGAAAATTAAAGTAATGAATAATTTGATGAATTTTCCCTTTGTGAAATCCAAACATCCACTTAAAATTAGTGTGTCAACTTATGACCTATCCGTGGCAGGCAATGAAAATCTCGTAATTTCATTTTAATAACTTTACAATGGAAAATAAAAGTTTGATAACTAATAGGCCTACAATCCATAATCATTTATAGGTTGAATAAAGAGATATACTTTCAAATCTCTCGAGGCATATGTTTAGTTTACAGACTGGAGTTACGTGGTTTACAACAAGCACTGCTGTACCGAGTGGTCTTAATGATTTGTTAGCTGTAAGCTTAAGCTATAGCTCTTAAAAATTTTATAATTGCTTAACATTGCTAGAAAATAATTTCTAATCAAAGTAGAGGTAAGTGAAAGTTGTGTTGCGGGCACCAGATTTTTTAAGTATGTGTTATAAAGTTAATGAGTCCATTGAGAGCATTTTAAAAAAGCAGTCTAGTTTCTGATGACTTTTTTTCCCAATCTTTAATTGTACTGTTTCTTAGTCCAATTTTAGCAATTTCACCAACACTAACACTTTTATCCAACTTATGTAATGCTTCTATTTTATCTTTCAGTGACACAACTGGTTTTCTTTTTTCTCTCATTTTGTCACACTTGTTAATTGAACAAAAGGAGTGATAAGAAAAACGTAGTACACAAACAAAAATCTCAAATAAAACCTTTCCAAGAAAATGTGTCATGTCTAATGTCAGTAATATACACAGTTACATACTGCATCGGTAATTACAAAGTATTTCTTATCATTTTTCTAAGAAATAAATGAAGGATAAGGATTTTGTTTCAAGAATCAATTTTATTTTGAATAGATTTGTTTTATTGAGGTTTGGTCAATTGTAAAAAAGTAATAAACAAAAACCTTTTTGTCTACATTTCAATCTATATCTATTTGATGAATCTGTATAAGATGGAGGGTGAATGATTGTTGTGTAGTGGATTTTCCTGTATTTGTGGTTCTTTAAGCCATTGCAATTCCCATTAACATATTCCATTAAATCTAATGTTTTAGTAATTATGGAGTGGGGTAACTTAGTGGTAGCTGAGCTTCCAATGCTGATGGCACTAGCGGATCAAAGATTTAATTTTTTTTTTTTTAGGGTGGGGGAAGGCTTAAGCCCGAAAGCTTTTTTTATATGTATAACGATTATTACCTTGGAAGATGAAGAAAGATCCTAATTACCTTTATGAAATGGTGTTAAAATGATTCTTTAAGTCCTATTAAGTGTAATTAAACATACAATAATACTTTTAGAGATGATATTTTAATATTTTTTCAAAAGGTATTGTTATATTTTACTATTTTGTTCTCTCCCTCTCTGGTACATCCACCTGTGGCTCAATGTCCCAAGTTCGAATTCCAGCTTAAGGCAGATAAATTATTTATTCTGTTTCATTGACTGTGGAACAACTCTTCTGTTGCACACCCAGCATCTATAAAGTGGATATTCTTTATTAAATAAATTATTAAGGGATAAAACCTGGAGGTTGAGCGCGATCTTGGTCAAATCACAAAACTATTGACTAAGAAACTGTATCTTCCCTAGATAGTACTGAACCCAAGATCCTCCATGGCTTAAAGTGGTTCAGGTAACTTTTATTCATTGGGATCTTGATCTTCGTCTCCCTTGATGTTGAAATCTGAAATGGGCTAAGCTTGGTACGGTTTGTCGCATTTCGTGAAATTGAAGTGGACCTAAATTCTTGTTAATTTTCTTGTGGATAGGTAGACTCATGTTGAAGTTATCGCAATTTTTTTTAATTTCGAAATAAAAACGAAGGCTCCTGAAAGGTTAAAGAATTTTTTTTGTCTTCGATTAAAATGAAAATTCATAATTGAGAGTTTATCGAGATACAAAATACAAATCTTAACTTTGTTTCTCTTTAAAAAATATTTTAACCTACTTTGCTACCAATACAAATTGTTTAATTTCCAGGATAATTCTTATTGATTTTCTTTTTTAATTTGTATGGAATTCGGGAAGATTTCGTTTAATTATGGATCAAGCAATAATTGTTTAATTTTTGAGCTATTTGCAAATAAAATAAAGCATGCCCTCACAAACACAGGAAACCAATGAAGAAAAGCTAACAAAATTAATTTCAATATAAACAATTAATAATTTTATTGAAATATATAACAATTACATTTTTTATTAAAATATATAATAATAACAAAGTAAAAATACACAATAAAATTATAAAGAATTTAAATAAATAAATAATACTGGGAGATGGGCAGAAAACCTATTTTGATAAATAAATAGTGAGTATTTTATTTAATTCTGACTTTGAGTACTTTAGTCACTACCTCAGTTAATGACTGACAAAAATAATAAAATTATTCAGCTTTCTTCATGAGTATTTTCCATTTCCTTGATTTATTCAAAACTATTTTACCTTGGGTATTTTAAATAGAAATTAAGTATTATATACTACAAGAGTATGATTATTCATCTATATTAGATATAAAATAACAACTTCATGAACTAGATGTCCAGAGCTGAATAAAATTGTAATACTGATATATTCAAAACTAAAATCAATGTAACAATGTTCTAATAATATTAATTTTATTGACTATTATAGTTTCCAAGTGCTCACTGACTCCTATAACCCAAACGAATTAAGCATTATTTAAAAATAAAATCAACATTAATACTGACCAGCACTTTTAAACAGAAACTATTATTTGTATAATGTAAGGGCAATGATGAATCAACAATGTCTGGGTATGAAAAGATGAAATAACTCATCATCGGTCAACAGTGTGTTAAGATCACAAACTTACATTTAGATTTATTTAAAATTTTCAGGCATAGCTTTTGAAAGTAAAATTCATTCTAAGATCAAGCCGTTGTTTTCAATATTTATTTTATTTTTTTACATTACCTGCCTCTTATTAACCGATAAGGTTGGTTATAGCAGTCGGATAGCGACTAAAGTACTAAAAATTAGTATTTAAATAAAATACGGAATGCCCGATGGTTGACCGTTGTAAATAATTGAGGAAGGAAATGGTCCAGTGTGGAGTGTGGTTCAATAATAATCCAGTTTTTTTGTACAATGTGGAGGGCTTCTTTGTCTATTGGTATGTTAGTAAATAAGCTTTTGGCGTCTAGGGAAACAAGTATAAAATTATCAATCATGTGGAGAGATATCAACTGTTCTTTAAGGCGAAATGAATTATTAATATCATAGGGGTTATTGTGGCTAAGTTTTTGAAGAGAAGGTAGAAGAAATTTCCTGAGTTTAGCTGAAGGGATTTTCAGGTTATGGATTTTTGGGAGTCCATGTAAGAGACAGAGGAGCAGGGTAGCTCAGTGGTAGGGCACTAAGCTTCCAATGCTCAAGGTCTCAGGTTCGAATCCCGGCTCATGGCAGAAAAATGATTTATTCTGTTTTATTG